GCCCGCGATTATCGATCGGCAATAGACAATCAGTGATCGCAAGTATCGCGCGGCTCGAGAGTTTGAAAGATTCAGTGCGCGGACGATTCGTGTACGTGGGCGCCGGATATGGACTCCGATGGCGCGAGATAGAAACGGCGTTCGAAAGACGTATTTTGACGGGCGCGGTGATAAACTCTAATCACATCGAGCCCCGTCGATTCCTAGAAGACGCGAGTGAAATTGTGCTCGAGCGTGTACAGAGTGTTTTACAGAGATATGACTCTATAAAGATAAATACAGTACTTAACGGTGAATTCGTGGCGGGTGATAAACGCGCGAACAAGAGCATCGCAACCAGGAACTATGAAATATATCAATGCACCGATCAGCGCGAGTGGTACGTGTCACGCGTTGTCGAGCCAATCCTAGCATCGCTCGAAGGGTTTCAAGAACGTGATAGTGGATGGGCACTATCGCGTATACTAAATTTAACGGTGAACGCGAATAAACTGAATCCTCTGCGCGCGGGATGTCGCATTAAACTCCCGGAGGAAATTAAAAATAAGAAAGCGGTGATTAACGTGCGTTCGATAGACAATGCTTGTTTCGCATGGTCGGTGGTTGCCGCTCTACATCCCGCTGAAAGTCATACATATCGAACATCATCATATCCGCAATACTCATTGGTACTAAATCTTACGGGTATCGAATTCCCGATGACGTTGAGTCAAATTAAAAAATTTGAAAATCTCAACGACATTACCATCACCATTTACGCCATCGAGGAAGGCATCGTACCAATACGACTCGCTGACCAAAAGAGGAGCAAGCATGTAAACCTCTTGTACGTTGAGGATGACATCGCGGGTCACTTTGTGCTGATTAAAGACCTGTCACGTCTAGTAAGCTCGCAAATTAGCAAAAAGAAGAACAAGAAATACTTCTGTGATAGGTATGTATAATCATAATAATAATAATAATAATAATAATAACAGTAACAATAGTAATAATAATAAAATAATAAAATAATAAAATAATAATAAAAAACAAATTCTTTTTTTTTCCAGATGTCTCCACTATTTTAGCTCGAGCGCTAAATTGGAGCTCCACAGCGTCGACTGCGGAAAGCTCAACGATTGTGCAATAAGGTTACCGAGCGAGGACGACAAGTGGCTCGAGTTTAAGAAACATTGCAGAAAGGAGCGTGTCCCGTTCGTGGTCTATGCAGACTTGGAGTGCGCATTGGAAAAGATGGATAAAGAACCAGCATCATCCACGTACACGTACCAACATCACAACGTCTTCAGTATCGGGTATTACGTGCACTGTTCTTATGACGATTCACTATCAGGCTATCGTTTTCGCCGCGATAATAACTGCATATCGTGGTTCGCAGATGAAGTGAAAAATTTAGCACATAGTGTGCAATCTGTAATTTCGACCAATGTTCCCATGGATTTCACGCAAGATGACTGGCGAAAATTCAACAACGCCACGCACTGTCATGTATGCGAGAAACCGTTTGCGAAAGACGATACGCGAGCACGCGATCACTGCCATCTCACCGGGCGATACAGAGGTCCCGCGCAATCAAATTGTAATTTAAATTATAAAGATTCGCGATGCATACCCGTAGTCTTTCATAATTTAACCGGTTACGACGCTCATTTCATTATAAAGGAAATTGCTACTGCCTATGTAGGACACGTTGATCTTTTACCGATAACTAAAGAAAAATATATCTCTTTTACTAAACATGTTGATGATACTATAGATGATAAAAAAAATTGTATACAACTTCGTTTCATCGATTCATATAGATTTCTCGCTTCTAGTTTAGACAAATTATCATCTTTTCTCAGCAAAGATAAGCTGCGAGTACTGCGACGCGAATTTTCTCATTTATGGGAAGAAAATTTTAATCTTTTAACTCGAAAAGGTATCTTTCCGTACGAGTACATTGATTGCAGTGAAAAATTGAATGAATCATCCTTGCCGCCTCGCGAGTCATTCTATAGTTCATTGAAAGACGGCACGGTATCCGAGAGCGATTACGCGCACGCTGTCAACGTGTGGCAGCGGTTCTCCATCCAAACGCTCGGTGAATATAGCGACCTGTATCTAAAAACGGATGTATTGTTGTTGGCCGACGTCTTTGAAAATTTCCGCGACAGTTGCGTCGCGAGTTACGGGCTCGACGCCGCATACTATTATACGTTGCCTGGCTTCACATGGGATGCCATTGAAGCATACAGGTGTAAAATTTGAATTGCTTACAGACATTGACATGGTCATGTTTGTCGAGCGCGGTATACGCGGTGGTCTGAGCCAGTGCTCAAATAGGTATGCGCGAGCCAACAACAAATACATGCCGTCGTATGACCCATCGAAACCATCATCGTACCTAATGTACTATGACGTCAACAATCTCTACGGCTGGGCAATGTGTCAACCATTGCCATACGCTGATTTTCGATGGGTCGACGACGTGCAAAATTTCGACTTTTCGTCCATCCCGCTAGATTCGCCTACAGGCTATATTCTCGAGGTTGACATTGAGTACCCGCAACATCTCCACGACGCGCACACTGACCTACCGTTCTGTCCAACGCGAGAGAAACCACCCGGCAAGCGCGATGACAAGCTCCTCGCGACGTTATGCGATAAGCAGCGTTACGTGATTCATTATCGCAACCTGCAGCAGTGTACTCGTCACGGCCTCCGTATCGCAAAGATTCACCGTATATTGCAATTCACGCAATCTCCATGGCTTCGCGATTACATAGAATTAAATACAAAATTTAGAACTTTGGCAAAAAACGATTTTGAGAAAAATTTATACAAACTTATGAATAACGCGGTATTTGGTAAAACCATGAAGAATGTGCACGATCGCGTTGATGTAAAATTATTAACCAAATGGGAAGGCAGACACGGTGCCGAAGCAATGATCGCGAAACCTAACTTTCACAGTCGTAGCATTTTCTCGGAGAATCTGGTCGCGATAGAACTGCGTAAGCTCAAGGTGAAATTCGACAAACCGATATACGTGGGTATGTGCATCCTCGATATGTCGAAAACGTGTTTGTACGAGTTTCGCCACGAATATATGGCACCACTGTTTCACGATAAATGCAAAATTATGTATACCGATACTGATAGCCTCATATACTATGTAGAGTGTGACGACGTATATGAAATTATTAAACGCGATATCGATAGATTTGATACGAGCGATTACTCTGTCGACAATCCATATCGCATTCCGCTCGCGAATAAAAAAGTTCCAGGTCTTATGAAAGACGAGAACGACGGTGCCATCATGACTGAATTCGTCGGGCTTAGAGCGAAAATGTACGCTTTACGTGTACAAGGAAAGAAGGATAGGAAAAAGGCAAAGGGTGTCAAAAGCAACGTTGTGGCAAGATCCATAACGTTTGATGATTACACGAAATGCTTGAATGATGTTATTGAAATGACGCGCAGACAATCGTGCATCAGATCGAAATTACATGAGGTGTATACGATATCGGAAACAAAAATCGCTCTAAGTCCACACGATGATAAGCGGTATATCGTATTAGGTTCCACCGACACGCTGCCATGGGGACATTACCGGTGTAAATAAAACACATATCATATACATACATACATACATATAACTTGTATAAAATGTATAATATATTTAATATATAATATGTAATATAATTTATAAAGGATATTTAATACACTTTAATGTAGGATATTTAATATACTTTTATGTATAATATATAATTTATATAATTTATATAATGTTTAATTTTATAATGTATAATTTATAATTTATAATTTATAATTTTATAATACATTGTCTTTATGAATCCATGAATTGTGTGATTTGTCAAGTCCCAACCATTTCACATAAACCTCGTTTCCCCTTTTGCGCAACACTTTTTCAACAAGGTATACATCGGGATTAGCGACGCGATGCAGTTCGTATTCGTAGAATCCTCCAGCTATGAGCTCTCCGCGGGAATCCTCCAGTAGATACGTCACTGGATTAGTTTGCTGCACTTTGATAATTTTAAAGACCTCCGTCGTCCAGTTCGGTGTGAAACCTTTTTCAAATATTGTCTTGAATTTGCTCACGCGTACCGTATCGCCTACTTTGAATTTTGCGGGACCCGCGATCTTTATCGCACTATACACCGTACCCAGGAGTCTTTCGGCGATCGCGGGGGTTACGTCAGCGGGTCGCATGCCGATAGTGCGATGCTTACGCGCGTTGTAATCCGACACGAGACGCGGCAGCATTTCGATCCATTTATAGTTTCCGTTGTATGTAAACTGTTTCCACATATCATTCTTCAATGTACGATTGAATCGTTCAACGACCGATGCCTTCATTACTGAATACGTAGAATAATGATTGATGTTGTGCTTCTTCAAAAGTTTCTGCACATCTGAGTTGTAAAATTCTTTTCCTTTGTCAGTCTGCAAATTTTTCGGACATCTTCGGTCGTCTCGAATTATCTTTGCAATTGCCCGCGTCACCTCGTTCCCGCTCTTGGCTTTGAGCGGCATGGCCCATGCATGCTTACTCAGCACGTCGATGACAGTGAGAATGTAGTTGTAACCTCTGTTGAAGCGCGTATACGGACGCATCTCGACTACATCCGCCTGCCACAGGTCATCGTATCCGTGTACTATGACGCGTCTTCGCGGAAATTTTCTTCTCGCCGGAGCGTGTAATTCTTCAACCAGCGATCGTTTCTCAGACATTCTTCGATTCTCGAATCTTTTTTTCAAATTCATTTAAAATAATTTGCACGTTATTCTGGAATGATGTTATCTTTCTTTCAATTTCATCAAGACGATCTTTCAAATCTTGAACACTCTGCTGCACGTATCGTTTGTTTGCTGCGTCAGTATCCTCCACTGGTAGCGCTAAACGTCGAATCTTACGCGACTTTGCGTCAAAGTCGGCTGCAACTCGACAAAGAGCGTTATCGCGCACGTAATTTCTGAGCAATCCACGCCACTGATAATGCGATTCGCTTCCTCCTCCGAGCGACAATCCAAACTTGTTGATCGGCATTTCGATGTCGACTGATCGACGTGTATACATAATGATCAATTTATAATAAGTCCGGCTTCGCGAAGTTCTTCGATAATCGATAGAATCTCATTATCGTGGCCGTTGTGACCTGCTTGACGCGAGGCTTCGAGCAATCGAAGACGATCTACAAGTTCGTTGGGATCGTCCCAGTGTACGTAATCAATCCTGTTGTCGGTTAATGACATGGCGCACGGCAAATCGAATTTTTTCTTTATACCAGTCCCAACCTTTTTACCCAACACCAATGGTGCGATGATGTTCTTGTACTTGTGTCCCTTGTTACCCAATACTTGATTACCAGCGTTATGACCACGTCGATAAGCGTTTGTTGTCAACAGAATGCTCTTGTAAGTCTGTATATCGTCATCAGTGCATATACTTTCGTTGGGAAATTTCATAAAAATCAATTCATACAGTCCCGGTGTTCCATCGTATCTTTGTCCATCTATAATTATGTCATCGTTTTTGTTCAAGGTGATACGTTTGTCACCGAGCATCGTTCCCTCGTCGCTAAAGTAGACTCCATACACGACGTCTATGTTGACGGCTTTCTTACCGCTCAAGACCGCTTTCAGATATCTCTGTCCCAAAGGACCATAGTTTGCATGCAGTTTTTCTTGCCCCTCGGACGTTTGAAGCAGATGTCGGATGGATGTTACAAGCGGTTCATTGGCAATCTCGAATACTTCTTCGACGGATGGAGCGTGGTCGTACGATAACTCGCGCGATCCTGTTATTTCAGACAATTCATTCAAAGTGGATGGTACAGTTTTTGATTTATTCAACGCTGATTTCACAGGTGTTGAAGCCTGTATAGGACTATCGTACGAAGCGTTCGGTCGTTTTCGCTTCGGTTTCGGTTCCTCGTCTTTCTCCGAAAAGAATGTTTCAATGTTGATAGGATCCTTGGACGATTCAACAGTGTTTTCAACAATTTGTTTCAACGGTTCGGTAATAGGTTTAAAGTGTCTCTCCAACGCGATCTCCTCCTCCATTTTACCAGTCTTCAAAGCGCGATACTTTTTACGAATTGAATCGCTCGTTTTCGCAATCTCCATGGCTATCTTCTCGTGATCTTTGGTGCTATCCATGTTGCACAGTCAGCGTATCGATGACAACTGATCGCTTCACGGTACCGCAAAGTCATTAAATCCTTTTCTGTATCGTCCGTTAGCAAGCGCACTGTCCTTATCAATTACGAGAAATCCATACTTTTGCTGCCAACATTTACGACACAAATCGCAGAAATCTTCGTATAACATGTCGGTATTGACATGATCGTTGTACACGCGTTTCAGGTTGGTTCCATCCTGCTTAAACAGAATCAACAGATTTGCATTGTCACGTATAAGATGCTTCGGTATCTTTGCATAAGTCTGACAGAGATAGAAGCAGTCAACGTTCGCGTGGCGACCCATTGCAAAGTACTCTCTTATCGCGTCTTGCTTGTCGCATGCCACGTCATCAAAGATAAAGATTGAATTCGGAAGCGCCTCGCTCGGTGGAATGATCTCGCTGTTATTGGAGAATGTAAAATAGTTTATTTCTTCGATCGGTGCTAATAAATTTTCGAGATATCGATACTTTGGTTGTTGCAGAGATTTTGAATAAACGTATACGTTTTCGAAGCGTACACCGTTCGGGCTCTCCAACAAACTTATCAGTACATTCGTCTTGCCGCAATTCGACGGGCCGCAAATGATTGCGCGAATAGAACTCGGCAGCATCTTGCCATGCTTGCGCATCTCTTTATTGGTTTGCACTTTACCGTCGAGATTCGTCACTTTGATAGACTGCGACTGGTGCACGAACCGCATATTTTCGCGTTACACAAGAAACTGGAAAATATGTCGCGAGCGAGCCTATTTATAGAGCTACGTAGAGCGTAATCGCTCAGTAATCAAAATGTTTCTCATCGTGTCGAATGATTTAACCTCCAAAGAATTGGAATATATACCAAAAATTGTTTTACTGCGAGAGTTTGAGAATTGTATAGATTTGCTGTGGGATAGACTATCTGAGCATATACGAGCCGATTCGGAGGTACAACGACACCGTCGGTGTCTGAAGCATTACAATTTGCCGAGTTATCAAACGCATATCGACGGTCTATCTACCTATCTGCATATGACCCGCCATCAGAGGTCTATCGATATTCGCAAATTCTCGC